GGACTTATATAGGGCTAACCTCAATGTCTTCCTTTTCAAAATATGTAATCTGCATTTTTGAATAAAGTATTATTAATTAAAAAAAAAGACAGGGATTGATGTCATGTCAAACCAAGCAATACTCTAGACAGACTAGAAGAGTCCACCTCTTGACCTTGGGTGTAATGTTTTCCCATTTCTGGCCAAGTGTCATTCCCTGGATAATATGAATCTTTGTTTCAGTTGTATCCACATTCATGTGTTTTCTCATGTGCAACCGTTGAATAAAGAAATAATACTCTAGGGAATTATATGTGGTCTGAAATGGGAAAACATTATGCAATAAGGTAATGGGGTCTATTTTAATAATTTTTGTAGATTTGAACTAGAAATTGTGAAAGACTAGACCTAAGCAATCAACAGAGCTATTAAAGTCTAAAAATATTTTGTATTAACTTTTTGACTTCTGAACACTTTTGAGATTTTCTAGCTTTGTTGTGGACCTAAACATTCTGCAAGCCTAAGCAAAACCACATTTGGAGTTTGGATTGACACTGCCAAAACCTCATACATCGTGTAACCATAATTACAGCATGATTATCCTGTGAGCTGGTAAATGGAGGGACAGCCAGGACCTATTGTGACATTTTTTTGAATATTTGGCTTGTGGAGAATAAAAGAGGGGAGGAGGAAAGGGAGTTGGATGCTGATATTTGGGCAATAGTATGGATTTGTGAATTCCCTACCCCCAGACCCTTGGGATATTGTGGGGATATTTATGTGAGTTACATTTAAAACTTTTCCCCGGTCCCCAGGAAAAGATTGCTATACATATTAGATTCCCTGTATACCTGTGCATAATTTCTTGATACCTCGAATGTTTAGCAATAAACCATATATACTGAGGGCGGCGGATGACAGAAGACAAGGGGAAAGATGATGTCCATTCTTGAGAGGCAATCATCCGGCTGCTGCTGGGCTCAATATCCAAACCTAATGTACACTAATAGGGGTTGGGACATTGAGGACTGTTGTTTCTTTTTAGTTCGGCACCCTCCCTGTAGCATTTTTATAGAATTCCCCATGATGCATTGCAAAGCAGACTTGTGAAAAATCTATTAAAGAAAATAACAAGTTGTGACTCGATAGTATTTTTCAGTGATATTACACTGCCATTATTTCAGTATTTTGTGGTAAGGTAAGGCAATATAATTTTTGCCAGTTATTCATGATTTTCTAACTCCATTCATTTACGCTCTTTTTATTTTCGATAAAAATTAAACCAAGTTAACTAAAGATTGCACAAAGCAATCTCAATAATTAACTCAAGATGTGAACAGCAATCTAAATTATTAATATTCTATTAGTATATTATATAATTATTATCAATATATATATTTTTTAGTTTTATTTGGTTAAGGTATTCTTTACCTTGGGCGTAATGTTTACCCATTTCAGACCATGTGTCATTCCCTAGAGTGTCATTTCTTTGTTTAATGTTTACCCATTTCAGACCATGTGTCATTCCCTAGAGTGTCATTTCTTTGTTTAATGTTTACCCTTTTCAGACCATGTGTCATTCCCCAGAGTGTCATTTTTTTTGTTTTAATAACCATGTCTGTTTTTATTTCTACACACTGATCGAGAAAACAGTTGCGACATGGAAATCGGGCAACACCCTTCTGTCAATCAAAGACAGTATTTTCCCATGTACCTTTAGATGAATCATATCTAATGATTTATTTGATTGATGGAAGTTTATTGCCTGATTTCCATCATTGTTGCGACTGTTTCTCAGTTAGCACATAGTGAAACAGTGTTAATGGTTGTGCATGAGAAGATATACATGTATATGGACACAACTCAATTCAAACAAAAAATCTTTTTCTAAAGTGAATGACACATGGTTTGAAATAAATGGGGGAAAACCTGACACCCAAGGTAAAGATTATCTATAAATTGTGAATGAAATATGCACCACAATAAGTGGTCATAAGCTGGCATTAAGTGATTGGCCAATTACTTAGACACCACATATTTATGGCGTTAATAATTTGCTATCACATTTTAAACTGATTTTATCATTTTTGGAAATCATGTTACTAATTAAACCTATGATCACAGATTATAAAACTATTCACTACAAACCTATGTACCACTATGTTAACTTAATAATCTGTTAATATATCCTTTATATTTAGTAATAAACTTAAAACTTTACAAATAAAAACAATTCTCAGGAAAGTCAGCATAACTTAGAATAAGATATAGTCCATAGCTACATACAGTATGAGATTAACGGCTTTGCTGGTATAAGATATGTACACTCTTCAATTAAGTTCGGACACATCAATTTGGAGGACAAATCAATGAAATTTTACTCTGCTGAGAATAAAATTTATTGTATTTTACTCCAAATTTAGTTAAAGTGGAATTGCTGCAAGGGAATTATTTACAACTTCCTGTATATATTCATGCCTCTCAATTTTGTCCACATTTTTGCAAAACACTTTTCAAATAAAATTAATCCTCAAATTGTTAATATCTCCGTCTCACCAGCTTTTTTTAAACCCAGATACATCCACAAAAGCTGCAAGTCAAACACTGTCCAAGTTGAGCTTTACTACAATATTCAATATTCTGTGAACTCCGACATATCAACAGCTTTTTGTGAAATTGTTTTGCTCCACTGTTTTTTTAACTGCTGCCAGTCAAGAATACCAAAGGTACCGACTGATTATTCTTAACTGACGGCAGCAAAAGATTAAATTCAGCGTGTAGCTTGCAACTACCATGTTCCCAGAATATCGAAAACTGCAGTAAGGCAACATGGCTACTATTATTGCAATTTCCTACTCCAAACATTTTTCAGAACTTATGAATATAGAAATCAGTTGTTAAGGAATAGAAAAAGATAATCCTAAACCAGGAACTCTCAATAACTGATTACTAAAATATAGATAAAAAATTAATTGCCAATAAAAATTAATGAACAATGTGATGGAGAAGTGAGGGTGACTTTCCTCAAAATCTCCATGACAAGAAAAGACAGCCCGGCCCTCTCTGATCTCTGAAGTTCCACCTGGTCCAAGCCCTGGCTATTGATATGCTGGCTAGAGTTCTGTATTCCTGAACTAAGGTACTTAAATATTGTATACTAATGACATATTTAAACAATAGACATCTCGGTCATTGTTTTGTCCCTTAGACTGCGAGCTGCTCCACTTTTTCCTCCAGGAAAGAAGGGTTTTAAGAAAATTTCCCAACCTCTGCATGTCCACAGGAATCCTAAAAACACATGATTCTTTACTGATTCTGGAGGGAAAAGTGGGACTGCTATCGGTCAAACTGTGTCTATTCTGCATAATATTACCAGACAGAGTAAGTATTATTATTTTGTGCTTCATACATAATTAATGTCCTAATTTAATAATATTTTGTGTAAGTGGGAAAATGGTACAGTAAGAGTTTTAGACTCTTCCAAAGTAAGCCCCCTCCCCCCCAAAGATATTAATTAAAATGGTTCAGACAAATTAAAAGATTGCTGTGAGCATTATCAACACTCATGTTTAGGAAGTGGTTGGTTGGTTATAGTTCCGAGTTGGTGGTTTTGATATATTTTGAATGCCTTGTAGCTTTAAGTTTGGTTGCTAAGGTGTTGGTAAGGGGTTAGTTAACTGATCATATTCTAAAAAATATTAAAAATTTTTTTTAAATAAATAATAATCAATATTAATCATTATTAATTAATAATAATAAAATTATATTTAAAATTGTTTACATATTTGGTTCATTGTTGAAGGATAAAAATTCGGCAAGTTAGAGGATGGATGTGCACAGCTTGTTCTATCAATGAGTACAGGTAGTAACTATAACTTAAATCTGTGATGGTGACCCCACTTACACAAAACTACTCTTGTCTAGGAATGATATGACGTTATCTTTAGACATCTTCTTGTGGTTGCTCAACTTGAACATCAACAGGGTCTTTGTCTTCATCTCGAGGAGGCAAGATCTAAAGCACAGTAAGATAATACATTATTTTAGCACTGAATATAAGTAACAAGACAGAGAAAGGTTGTCCTTAAGGCATCAATAGGATGATAGTAGCTAGGATGACAGTAGTTGTTAGGCCAGCTGTTTGTAGGGTAATGCTTGCAAGAAACTTATCCCATTCAAATTTAAAGGTTCTTGGTTTTCACATTGAGTTCTTAATGGTAGGCTATGGAGCCATCATCACTGGTAGTATCCTTTCTACTGCTTGCCTCTCAGGCAACCCAGGTTTGATTCCTGGACTCAGTGTCATGTGCGAGTAGAGTTACTTATGGTTGGCATTCTTCTGTGCTTCGAGAGTTTTTCTCTATGTGCTTGGGTACTTTTTCTCCCTCTGCAAAAATTAACTTCTTAATATTGCAATTGGAATTCAGTGGATGAAAAGCCACCACGTAGAAATGTCACTGTCAAATTTTTGTTATTTGTTTTAAGATCTGGACTGGCTCGCGATGCAATAAGACAATATTGACTGACCTCAAATGGTTCACTAACAGAAATAACAGCATCCATTTTGTAGCTGTAATAGGCCATGACATAATGACCAGCTTCTTCTGGCAGACAGTCAAAGAGAACAGCACATCCATTCTCGCCATACTCATCACCGTCACCAACTGCCCACTCGTACATTTCATAATCCCAAAGATGGTGAAAGCCAACCTAGAATGAGGAAGAAATGATAATGAAGGTAAGTGGCGATGATTATTAATAGGAACTGATAAACATACCTCTGTGCAGTACAGTAATCTAAAATCAATTTTAAAAGAATGATGTACAGTAGAGTTTGTGCAGAACTCTACATCTGGGTACATATACCAGGAGAGGATCCAAGATTTTGTTCAGGGAGGGGTGCTGCACAGAAAGTTAACCTAGGGAGGGGTGCACCCCTTAGAATCAAAGGGAAAAAACAATATTGGTTATCTTCGAAGTAGGGGCACAAAGTAGAACCAGGGAGGGGTGTGCACCCCCTGCACCCCTCCCCTGGATCCGCCCCTGTGTACAGTGGTATGCGTATAGTGAGGGGTACAAAGTGAATGAACCTTTATCATGCTGTAGCCATGTTGAATGGAACAATGAAAATAGATTGCCATTACCTAGCCTCGCATTTAATTACTTCAGCATGAGGTTACACATTGAACAAAGGTTTCTGTTCTCATTGAAATAAGCATGACGTTAATTGTGGTAAATGTCCATGCAGAGACCCACATCAACTTTGGGTTTACCCAATTTTACCTTACATAATATTTTGATGATTATTATTATTATTACGAAGAAAAGTTGACAACAAAATGTCACTTGGCGAGTGCTGAATGACAGACAGTTTCTTACCTTGTAAAGTCCTATCCAATCCCAACTGTATGTTTTGTAGTTTTTGACAATATAAACACAAAGACCATCCTATAATTAAAGCAAGTCAAAAGCAACAACAGTATTAGTGGGACAAATTCATTATTTCTATTCAGACTTCTTGTTGCATAATTATAAAATAACTGTTATAAGACTTTCTGATTGGTTTGTGGTGCATGGTATATGATAGAACAAAGCACAGTTATGTTATTCATGTCCAAATTAACCAAGACTTATTAGTACTAATAAATTATGATTTGTTTTTTCATGAAAAAAAACTAGCTGATCTGTGCTTATTGACCTGCGTGCAGTTATAAAGCACTTTGGGATAGGCAGAACACTAAAGAAGAGTTGAGAAACACTCTGACAATAACACATTGTCCTCCAAACATGCTTCTCTTCTGTGAACCCCCACGCACGTTAATGCCCAGTGCATTGCCTACATGAATTTTCATTGGTTCAATGGTTGTTGGTTTATTTACTACTGACAGCTTACCTCATTGCCATACCAAGGCATGCTCATCAAGTCCATCTTCCACTCAATTGGGTTCTCAAGTTCAGTCATAGACTCCTTGGAATAATGAGAAATACATAATCAAAACACAAAATGTTATTGTAATGACATATGAAATGAATAATTATTATTCATATCAAGGCTTAAGTGAACCATTCCGTAATAAAGCACAAAGGAAGTACCAAAAGCACTCAAGAAGTGTGAAAAGCACGTGCCTATGGCTCATGCTTCTCTTCCCACTTCTTTCATGCTTACAGTACATTACCTCCTGCTTTATTACTGAATGGAACATGAATAAAACTGTTTTTTTGTTGATTAGAAAATAAAGTGTTTAAGCTGGCTGTAAGAATCCAGTGCAGTAAAGGAGCTTACTCTGACTATATGTCATTACAATATCATAATTTTTGTTGTAAATGGTCGGCCAACACTTTATCAGATAACTAATTTACAGCTTAGAATATTCCGACAATGTAGCCTTGGAATGGATAATTAAGGGCAGGGAAGCAGGATGTCAGGCTCTGTGAATATAGGGAATAGTTACCTCGCTGCTTGAAGACTCGTGGCTTGGTAAAGGCTCGTTTACACTAGCAATTTTTGCGGCGATTTTTTTGCGAATAATGATAAAGAATTTACTTGTAAAGTTTTTTTCAGGATACCAAGATTTTCCTAGACAAATGTCTTTTTTGAAGGATGAGACAAAAGATTTCACATTTCCGAAAACCACAGCAAAAATCGCCAGTGTAAACAGGGCTTATTAATATTCCCCGATATTCACTTCGGTGAATAACTGTTAAACATTTTATTGACTAACCTGCATATCGATGCTTAATAAAGCACTGACGGGTTTATGGTCGCTTGTCATGTACTGATCATGTGATTTATATGTTATCAGTTGAACTGTGTTCGCTTTTTCTTGTTTTTCTTTCCACAAGACTCTGTCAGTCCAAGCTGGTTTTCTAAATTTACCACTGTAAACATAAAATATTTTTGTTGAAAATTTTGTCACCCTCGTAAAAATCATTGTGCATCATAAACCATGATTACTTAATATTTTGTAGTTAATTAACAGTTCTTCTAAATCATATAAACATCCTCATCAATAGGTATCATAAAAATCTACTAAGCTTTGGCTGTCATATCACAGCGTGAGACAATCATAACAGAGCTACTGTAGGCTCCAAACTAAGTGAAAGTACCAAATTAGAATTTAGGAGTTGATGTTTAAGGAAGGTGGAAAATTGGAGAACCTGGAGAAAAACCCTCGAAGCATAGGAAATAACCAACAAACAACTCTACTTGTAACGACACCAAGCACCAAGCACGAAACCTTGGTCGTATTGGTGAGACACAACGCCATAGCAGTGCACACCACCTGTGCTTCCCCATCATCATAATCATGTATTAATATTATAATGGTATCTTTATTTTTTTTTCTTTTTTTATATTTTGCAACTATTTTGCATATTACTTTTATAATAATACAGCTTCTCATTAATCCCATATAGGTAACTGTCCAATTATTTTCTTAATTGGACAGGTTTTGTTGATATGGGATTAATTAGGCAGCTATATAATTAATAGGTAATGGGATTTCATGCTCCCCAATCAAGAAATAATTTATTAGACTCGAAAAATTCCTCTGACTGCCAAATTGGACTTGGCCTATGGCCTCAACCCATTTTGTCAGTCCTCGGAATTTTTCTCATCCAATTATTTCTTAATTGGACAGCATGGAGTCCTATTACATATTATACTAATGAAAGATTCTTGTCCTATGGCAAGAAATCATAGAATTTCTTTACTATAACTAGCCAGTACTTGCCTTTCTGTGTCCCAGTCATTGGTTCCAACGTTGTATTTGTAGGTAGGTGGAAAAGACAGGGGACCCTCTTTAAAGCCAACGAAACACAAGTTTTCCTTCTGACTACTGAGTAACTAAAACACAAAATTTAACATTAGCATCTTGGTATGCATTCATTAGTTTATTAAAAATTTGTACAATGTTAAGAAAGGAAATCACTATACAAGCCTCCCCATCCCCTCCCTCCCAAGTAGCAAATAATATTCTCCTCTTTCTTTTACTCTCTGCAAATGGGGCCAAGATCTGAAGTTTCTGTTAAGTATATGACTTGTATTCTAAACATACATACTGCAGTCATATTTTTGTATTAAGTCTTACATCCTACCCCCTGGCCCTCCCCCCTTATATTTTGACAGTCGAATCCACTATCTGCATGGTCAAGGTATAGTATTATTTACTCTTTGAGCAGAGGTTCTTATCTATCCCACTAGGAAATTAGCTGGTATGGCACCTTTTCCACTCATCTGATCTACTAGCAGGGGAAAAAAGCGCATGGCTAATGCTTTACAGAACATGCGTAATTTAGGTAAATTACAAGCCTTATAAGGAACATGATTTAAATATTACCCATGTTTTTATACGATTTCCGAGCCCATTCCACACAGCTTACCGCCTCACCTCTCATGTACTACTTTTCGTGGGATTCTACCAGCTCACTATATACACCGTGCTGACGAGGCCCAATACAGGCTGAAACAGCTGTCCACGGTTTCTAGTTGAGCTGGCTCATTTTTTATGCAACTTGAAGTTGTGAAAGGCCCATTGGCCCTCTTCCTCAGTCGTTTCATACAAGGCTCATAATTAACCTATTATGCATGTTCTTATATGATTTCCGAGCCCATCCCACTCGGCTTACCGCCTCATCTCTCACATAATACTTTACAGAGTAAGTATTACTTGGGACTTAAGATATGATCATTATGTCACAATGTCATGTACATTCTCCTCTTATACCCTGCCTAACCCCACCCTACTGACTTCTCAATCCCCTGGATGGGGGAAGGAGGGGGAGGGGGAGGGGGAATGGATGTTACCTGGTCATGTTCCCATAAAGTGGAGTACTGCTGTTGACTGCACAGTGCTTTGATGTTTTCTGCAGATTCATTGATCCTGTAATTGAAGTCTCCAAACCAGAAGATATAACTGTGAAGAAAAAAAGAAAAAACAAATTGTCATGTTAAATGGTTTGTTACTGCTGGTTTTTATGGCTAGGTGCTATCTTGGTTTTTGTTGTTGTTACTATGGCAACCAGGATGGCCAACACTGATGTCAGCCTTGAGTTATTTTTGGGGGAATGATTGGAAACCATGTTAGCTATAGATCAAAGAAAATTTGATTTGAATATACAGAATCTAGAGGAAGGGATAATATAAGGTCTAAGAGCTTTAATTTCAAAATCTAGAGAAGAGCTTGACCCTTCCATCCATGCATGCATGCATACATACATCTAATTCATGCATTTATCCTTTTACCTATCCATGCATTTCAATCCATCAATCCCATCTATCCTCTCACCCATCCATGTGTCCATCTCATCCCTCCACCTATCCTTTAACTCATCTATGTGTCCATTCATTCTATCCATCAATCCCATCCATCCTTTCACCCATCCATGTGTCCATTCATTCTATCCATCAATCCCATCCATCCTTTCATCCCCATCCATGTGTCCATCTCATCTCTCCACCTATCCTTTAACTCATCTATGTGTCCATTCATTCTATCCATCAATCCCATCCATCCTTTCACCCATCCTAGTGTCCATACATTTTATCCATCAATCCCATCCATGTGTCCGTCCGTCCATCCATCCATAAGTCTTCCAACATTCTCCTTTCCATCTGTTCATTCTTCTATTCATCCTTCTATTCAACCTTTCTTTCTAATGTTCCTTTTATTCATTATTATTTAAGTATGATATCAATAAATATAATTTTATTGGTGTTTATATTCTAGCTCCTTACCTGTGTTCATTTATTTTTTGTGGTGTACAGTTTGGAAATGTGATATAATCCTCAACAGTTTGAGTCTCCTATGAATAACATCAACAATGTGTTACTACTATTTTCATGAACATGCTAACTCTGTCAGGGGCGGCGGAAGCTGAAAATCTTTGGGGGCACAGCAAAAAATCTTTGGGGGGGGGGG